GTGACGGGTGAGGGAGGGGCCAGTCAGAGGCTGGACCCCACATAGCCAACTGTGGAGTCTGAATCCTGGACCGGTGGCTTGAAAAATCCTCCAGGTGGGTGGCATGGTGGGTAAGGCACTGAACTCTCACATGGCCAACCGAGTTCAAGTCCTGGACCAGGACTTTCTCTCTCTCTCTCTCGTCAAGTTTTTAAAAATAATAATAATGAATAACGCTAAATAATAATTTTTTAAGAGAGATTTTTGCTATAGGGCACGTGTGCTGGCCAGAAAGACAGAGGGAGGCAGAGACCCCCCAAGGGCGATGGCCACGCCGTCACCCCTTCCCCTCCATTCTCCTCTCAGGACTTCTGGTACGCACACACACCCAGCATGGGCTTTTTAAGCCACTGGGTCCAGGACTCGAACTGCGGTCGACTATGTGGGAGTCCAGAGATAACCATTATGCCACCTACTGGTCCCTAAAATAAAATTTTTAAAAAATGGGGCAGGTGACGTGGTGATTAGAGATGCTGAACTATCACGTGACTGACTGCAGTTCAAGTCCTGGACCCGGCGGCTTGCTTTCTCACTTTCTCTCTCTCTCACTATCCCTCTGGTCAAATTAAAACAAATAAATAAAGTTAAATAAAATTATTCTCTTAAAAATAATAATTAAAAAGAAAAGAAACAAAAAATATGCCAGGCACATGCCCAAAATCCTGAAAGAAAAAAACGGAGGAGAAGGGATTGTATGGCCATGCCCCATCGGGGCGTGCCTTCTCACTTTCCCTCCTCCCTGGAGAGCACGCGCCCTGGGGGTGGTGACATACTGGTGAGGCTGTCACACCCTCACCCCTGCTTTCCGGGAGAGCTTACCTGTCAGTGATGTGGGGTCATGAAATCGATAGCGCCTGGCGCCCACCAGAGGGCACCACTACTGTCGCCCAGCTCTCCACATAGGCCATCTCGGCTCAAGAGTGGGTGCACCTGGCATCTGCGGGTACGAGCCAGAAGTGGACTCTGCCCGGTTCCAGCCCAGAGCATGGTGCCCGTGGGCAGAGCTTCAAGTCAAGGCCACTTCGAGTGAAGGGAGAGGGCTGCTGGAGGTCAGGACAGGCATTCAGGGTGGGGGACCTCAGCTGGCTGGCAGGGCTGGCAGGAAGTGTGCTAGACAGTCGGTCATGAGCGGGCAGCCCTAAGAGAAAAGCGAAAGGCTCATCTAGCTCCGGGCGCCAGGAGGGCGAGGCAATTTGCCATCTTCCTTCCTTGGGGCCTGAGGGAAGCGCACAGGGATGATTCGTAGATTTTTTTTTTAAGAGAGGTTTTTGCTATAGGGCACGTGTGCTCGCCAGACAGACAGAAAGAGACAGAAAGCGAGAAATCACCCCCCAGGGGGGATGGCCACGCCACAATCCCTTTTCCTCCATTCTCTTCTCAGGATCTTGGGCACGCACGCACACACGCCTGGTGTGAGTTTAAGCCACTGGGTCCAGGACTTGAACCATGGTCGACTATATGGGAGTCCAGCGACATAGTCATTACACTAACTGCTGGTCCCCGTAGATTTTTCTCTTATCCAAAAGACACAATCTAGCGTTTTGGTCAACTCCCTAATTCCCATTAGGGCGATGAACTAACTGGGCAGTCTAATTGGGGCAGCCTGGCTCGCACTGGGCCTGCACAATGAGGTGATCAAGTTCCTCCTTCTTTACCCGTGAGGAAGGTGCGCAGGTGCAGGAAGGACATGGGCAGGGAAGGGCCTCCCCCTAATGAATATTCACGACTTCAAGTAATAAAATGATGGCTAACTAGTACCAAATGTGGTTGCAAATTTTTTTTTAAATTTAATTTAAAAAAAAATTAAATTCTTTTTTAAAAAATTTAATTTTTAAAAAAGAACAAAATACCACTTAGACATTTAAAAATCAGGTATGATGTTATTTATTATCACAGTAATAGTTCACAGAAAATGACTGCATGAGAGTGTGGGTCACAGAGCACCATGTAGGAAATGATTCCGTTTACATACAACCGAACACGCACACCCACAGGGGACAGACACGGTTACAAGGGGCGAGGGCGGGGAGGGTGTGGCATGACCACCCCAGAGGACGGGGGCTTCCTGTATTGTTTACAATAAGCACTGATGAGCTTTACAAAAACACCAAAGCTAGTACTTTTCCAATGTAAAAAACACAAGATCATTTTTAAATAGAGACTTGAAGTCGTTCGGCACACCTTGGCGCTCCAACGGGGCACAAACACTGCCGTGAACAGCACACTGTCTCTGGGGAGCCAGCCCCAGCCCCGCCTCTTCCAGGAAGGTCCTGGGGTTCGAGGACGCCTCTCCCAGCCCGGGCTGGAAGCCCTGCTCCGTCCCTGTGGTCTGTCGTTCCAGCTGCTCTCTCTAAACGCCTTCCTGAGAAGGCTGCTCGCCCAGGCAGAGCCAGCCTCTGTCACCCACGGAGGCCACAAGCCCACAGTGGGTCTCTACTCAGGCTGCTCAGCACCAGGGGACCAGAGTGTCTGTCAAGCGGCATCTGGCATCAAATCACAGCGATAGGAACCTTCCAGAACACCCTCCACACACCGGCCGCCCCTCCGTGGCCCCGCTAGGCCTTCAGCAGGGCGACCTTGTGCTCCGGCATGGCGTCTTCGCCGACATTGTAGGGCTGGGCTCCCGGCTCCTGCCTCAGGCATCTCTCTGCAGAAAGCACCATTCTTCATGCACACAGAGCGAGCGGAGCCAGGAAGGGGAGCGAGGCGGCGCGGCTGGCGCCCAGGGAGCGGCGGGGTCACTGGCTAGCTGGCCCTCCCCTGTGCCTTCCCCTCGTCCCTGAGCACACCATGTGCCGCCTGTGTGGCCAACCAGCTCCCCAGGACTCCGTGGGCGGCTGCCCTGTGCGTGGCCATCCCCGCTGCTCTGAGCCACAAGGACGGGGAAAGCATAGGCACCGTGCAGAGCCAGAGCAGCCTGGGCAGATGGCCGCGACCCGGTGTCCCCGAGGCTGCCGGCCAGGGAAACTGCCCATGGGAAGAAGCCAGAGTGGCGGCTCCCACCAGGGCGGGGTGAGAGGGACCATTGTAGAGGGAAAAGCTCCAGGCTGATGGGGCTGACCAGTGGGGGTAGTTATCAGCACTAAACTGTAAGCTCGAGGTGTGTGGAGACCTGTATTTAAACTCTATCTCCATTCCACACACAGCCGGGGCCTCCCCTCTATCCCTTCTCAGCTGCTGAGTCTAGGCCAGGATTGGATCGCGGCCCTCACAGGATGGGAATGACTGGCACTCGGGCCTGGGCTCCTGCTGCCCTGGGGGCCCTGCACCTCCAGGGGATCCCCAGTGGGGATGGCAGGTGATTCTGGCTGTCACCACCCACGATGGCTCATGCCCAGGCTCAAATCCCACCTCCTTTCCCAGTCTCGCTGTCCTGGCTCGGCCCTGGTCCACCTGCCCTGGCCTCTTGGGTGTGGAACCACCGGCCTGCACCCACCTGCTTCTTCCAGGCTGCAGAAGTACTGGAAGCCCTTCAGATCAGCGGCCAGCAGGACACGGAGGACAGGGACCTGTAGGGCAGACGGACTGTCACGAGGGCAGGGCCGTTCCCGCCCTGACACTGGGGTATGGGGCTGGTGAGGGGCAACATCACCAATACATACCAGTCCTTGTGCAGCCCGGGGCAGGACACTCAGCCTCTCTGGGCCTCAAGGGGCGGATAATAACACCAGCCTTGAGGGTGGCAAACAGCCCCTGACCAGGGCCAGTTGGTTCTCTCAGTTTACGATCCCTCCTACCCCAGTCTGGGGCCACGCCCACACCCCCTGCCACACCTACGATGCTGCAGGAAGGACACGCCTGACAGCAGGCCGCACGGCAGCCCCCGCCACTCTGCAGCATGTGGGGACCACTCCCCGAGCCCTGGACTACGGAGGCTGCGGAGGGGCCGAGCCAGGAGCGAGGACAGCTGTGCATTGCCCCGCTGGCCTGGGCCTCTCAGAGCTAAGGACTGGAGTCTGACCGCCCGTCCCCACTCACCTGCTGCCCTGAGCAGCAGTCTCCGCTGAAACCTGCTTTCCTCAGCCCACCCTTCTTTCTGAGTGTCCCCTTACTCATGACAGGCCATGTGCACATGTGAGGATGAGGGAGAGCAACCTGGCCACGCCACAGTCCCCTTCCCCACCCTCCAGCCTGCCGGGCCCAGGTGCTCTCGCACACATGTGGTGTTTCAGGCTGCCTGGCGGGGATTTGAACCGCAGTCGCCATGAGGGGTCCCGCTTCCCTTGAGTAGTGTATTACCGCTGCACTGCAGGGCCAACCATAGACCACTGCCTGCCAGGCTCCGAGAACTGCCCTGAGGACCAGGATCCCAAGGGCACTGACTGCTGGGGCCCTCGGAGGGCAGGCGTGTGCTCCCCGATTTACAGGGAGGGAGAAGGGCTGAGGGGCACAGCCGGAGGGCGGGGCGGGGCAGGCACACCCACCTGCAGGCCGGCGAAGGCCAGCGTCACGCCCTGCCTGCTGAAGTCCTCCAGGAGCTCGCCCAGCCCCCGCACCACGGTGTAGTCCACGCTGCAGACGTGGGTGCACTCCAGGACCGCACTGCGTGGGGGAGACCCTGGGGGCAGGCCGGGGCTGTCACGTGGGGCGGGCCACATGGAGACTGCAGAGCAAGCTGAGGCAATGCTGGCCACATGGGGCCATGTGCAGGCCAGCAAGTACCCTGATCCCTCGGGGCTGTCACCCAGCAGGGGGTTCAGGGTAACAGAACTCACCAGCAGGAGTCACCCTCCCCTAAATATCCACTACCCATCAAGGACAGATCCTGAGGGCAGTGGGGAGTGACATTTCAGCGGCAGTGAGTGGGGCAGTCCCAGGGCGTAGGGGTCCTGGAGGAGTGAGGGCTGGGGAGCAGGCAGCGGCGGGGAGCTTGGGTGGTCAAGCCCACCTACCTTGTAGGGCCCGGCTCAGGACGGCCTCCCGCAGGGCCTCCACAGCGGGGAAGTGCAGGCCGCTGGCCGGCTGCAGGACAAGGACTGGCCCCTCAGACACCTGCAGACCATGGAAAGGGCCAGTGAGTCCCAGGGGCATGTCCTATAGGAGTCTCTACTGGGTTTGGCCTGCACAGGCAGGAGGCCTGGCCCAAGCCCAGCACACCGGAGGGAGTACAGTGAGAGCTGCGGGGACCACCAGACCCGCCTGGACCCAGAGGGCCAGCCACCTGCCAGGTAAGGGGTCACCTTCGGTAGCGTCTGTGACCATGGTCACCCCATGATCACAGAACATGAGAGAAGCTGTGGGCTCCCGCACTGCACACAGCACCCCAGAGGCAGGGCGGGGCGTACCTGAGTCTGGGGCCGGGCCAGCGTGTGCAGGAGGATGAGCACCGACGTCAGCACCCCGGCCAGGATGCCGTACTGCACCTCCCAGAAGCACAGCAGGAAGGTCACGCACAGCGGTGCCAGGTCCAGTCCTAGGATGGGGCCCGTGAGACTCCTGGAGGCCGCCTGGCCCTGACTTAGGTCCCACCGCCCTCAGGATGGCCACGTGGAGTCTCACGCTGTGTAAGGTGCTCAGACCACAGCCCGAGGGGCCTCGCTCAGCAGTGTGGTGGCAGTGGAGAGGGCCATGCTGCAGGGACTCACAGAGGGCCCGAGGACACAGAAGGGTGAATGGGCGGCTTGTCAGGGGACCGTGGGCCAGGCCGGGCCTGAGAATGTGGGGAGGGTGGGCAATACGTACTTCTTGGAGACCAAGCGGGGCCCCTGGGCCCTGAGGTAGTGTCCTGGGGACAGTGTGTGGGTCGGGGCAGCCCTGGAGTCCACCCTGCTCACCCTGCTCACCCTCCTAGCTCAGACTCAACCCACCCGGCCTGAGCCTCGGTCCCCACGGGTGCATCTCCTGTGCCACACACAGGCCCACTGCTCTGCCTCCGGGCTGTTCTGAAGGTCAGGCTCGGTAACATCAAGAAAGCCCTGGCCCGGTATGGGACGCAATGAAAAGATCATTCCTTGGGACCAGCAGATGGTGAAGTGGTTACATCGCTGGACTCTCAGAGCTGACTGTGGCTTGAGTCCAGGACCCAGTAGCTTAAAAACTCACACCGGGCGACTGCGTGCGTGCCCAAGGTCCCAAGAGGAGAATGGGAAAGGGATTGCGGCATGGCCATCCCCTCTGGGGGGTGATTTCTCACTTTCTGTTTCTCTCTCTCTTTCTGTCTCTCCAGTGAGCACATGTACCCTATAGCAAAAATCTCTCTTTAGAAAGAAAAACATTTCTTTCATTAACTAACTCATTAGGGCTGCTGGGAAAAATGCCTAGTAAGCTACAGAAATCCTTTCCAGGCCAAGGCAAAGGAGAGAAAAATGTGTTATGAGGTAGACCAGAAGGTAGCATGGTGGTTAAAGGTGCTGGACTCCCACATGGCTGACTGCAGTGGGAGTTCAAGTCCCGGACCTGGTGGCTTGCTTTCTCACTTTCCCTCTCTCTCTTTCTCTGTCTCTCTCTGATCAAACTGGAAAATAACAACAACAATAATAACAAATTAAAATGTTTTAAGTACAAAATTTTAAAAATATTCTTAAAAAAAAGTGTCACGGGAACAGCAGGGCTAAGAAGGCTGAGTCAGGGTCATCGAGGGTGTGGTGGTGAAGGCACTCCCATACGGCCGACTGCAGATCAAGTCCAGACCTGGCTTGAAAACCATGCCGCGTGCATGTACGTGCGTGCCCAAAATCCCAGGAGGAAAATGGAGAAGGGACTGTGGCACGGTCATCCCCAGGGGTGATCTCTCACTTTCCCTCTCCCTGTCACTCCCTGGTGAGGGCACACGCCCTACAACAAAAACCTAAAAAAAAGGCTGAGTTGCTGCGGCCAGTGGTCCAGGGCATTATTGCACCAGAGCCGGCTGCCCACCGGACGCCCCCCTGCAAGCCAGTGGCTGGAGTGTGGCGTGGCCGAGAGGGCAGGAGCCCTGCAGGGCTGTGCTCTGGCCTGCAAGCCCCCTCCGGCCCTAATGAACCCAGGCGGGGCTGCAGCTGCAGGAAGCCGCGCGACACCGCCACCCCCCGCCCGGCCCTCTCCATGCTGGGGAGCACACACATACTCTTCACACGCCAAAGCGTCCCGAAGACCTTGGTGTCGAACAGCGGGGCCACGGCCATGATGATGACGGCGGCCAGGGCGGCCTTGGGGATGTAGTAGAAGAGTGAGGTCAGGTAGCCCAGCGACAGCAGCACCAGCACGCCTGTGGGGGCGCGGTGACCGTGGGGCGCAGTCCCTTGGCTGAGCCCCAAGCCCACCTGGCAGCCCGTGGAGTAGGGGCTATGCCCCTTCTCCCATTCCCAGGGCACAGGGGAAGACGGCCGGGCTCACCTGTCACCAGGCCCCCTGCTGGGGTGCACACCCCTGACTGGGCGTTCACGGCCGTCCTGGAGGGAACAGAGACCAGTCAATCCCCCACGCAGGGAGAGACAGGGAGAACTGTCCACACAGATATGGTCCAACTTCCACAGGGACAGGCTTCCCATGAGCGGGGCCTGGAACATGGCGGGAGAATGCAGCAAAGCCCTCCCTCCTCCAGGGCCTGTGCCCACGGGGCTGAAGCCTGCAGCACTTGGGGTCACACTGATGGCAGGGCCTCGGCCTGCCAGTCCCCATCCTGCCCATCCTCCAGCTAAGGAAGGGAAGGGCCTGGCTGCACTGCTGTGGGGCAGAGGGAGCCCATGGAGAGGGCCTGGCTGCACTGCTGCGGGGCAGAGGGAGCACACCGGGGAGGGTCTGGCTGCACTGCTGCGGGGCAGAGGGAGC